GGCTGAGGGGACTGGGTCTTCTCAGGTTGCAGGGATTGGGGGTCTGTCAGGCTGGAATTTGAAGGGCTGGGTTGGGGGTTTGTAAGAGATTCACACCCCACAGCAAAGGCCCGGGAACTCCTGTCAGTCTGCCCGGTCTCGCCCCGCGCTGCCCACTCGGAGCCCCTCTGGCGGTCAGACGTGGTGGAGGCCGAGGCGCCGTCCGCAGCTCCCTGTCGGTCCACACGAGCGCCCAGTCAGCGCTCCCACCAGCGCTCCCACCGAGCGTTCCTGCCAACCCAGTCAGGAGGCAGTAAAGCGGCCAAGCGCTCCCGTCAGTCACCAGCGCCGCGGAGTTCTGAGAGGGCGGCCCGGGCTGGTCCTTCCTGCCTCAGCGAAGCCCCGCCCACCCCACAGGGATTGGCGGCCTTGAATCTCGCACCCGCGTGAAAACAGCCGCCAGCGCGCAGGCGCAGACTCGCGGTTTTCATTGATTTATTTTCTCCATGTGGCACTGCTGAGTGTTCAACTGGGGCTCCTGGCGTCCAGCCGTGGGCAGTGGTCTTCTAGGGTCCGGGTGGTCCACATAATTGTCCTGCTGACAAAGGCTGTAGTTCCCGGGATCACTGTGGGGGACCCGAATTCACTGCTGCCCAGTCCGGGCAATTGCGGCTGCGCGGGGCCTCTAAGGCCGGGCGTGTCCCTGTGCTGTGTCCACTACCCGGAAACCCGGCCTCCTGTCCGCGCTGGCAGCGGCTCCGGGCCCTGGGCGAGTACGAGGGTGAGAGGGCGCGGATCCGGGTTGTCTGCCCGCGTTCGGGGAAGGGGGTGAGCGCCCGTGGGGTGCACACGACGCTGGACAAAGACTTCTTAGGCAGTGATTGGGGTAGAAAGAAGTTTAAAGTTTATTTCTTTTCCTGAGAAGGAGAGAGGGAGGAAGGAAGGGAGGGAGAGGAAGTGGCCCGGAAAGGCGGCTGGTGGTTTAAGGGGTAAAAATGTCTTTCTCCCTCTGCTTCAACAGACGGAAGGTGCACATCTGGTGGAGAAGGTAATTGAGGTGGAGGCGACGCGGTCGCAGGTGCCTTCTCAAGCGTATCTGAATCCTTGGAGTCGGGTTTTGGTAGGAACCGAGGCCCGAGGGTTGGAGCCTGCTGTGGGCTTAGGGCTGTTGCTGAGAAAGAAGTCTTACAGGTGACAAGCCAGGCCACAGGGGGTTTAATTAAACAAAGGGGGAAGTGGTGTGGCGAGTTTTCTCTTAGAGGGGCAATTATGTGCTCTGAGGTTTTTTCTCTTTGTTGGTTTACTTACTTGAGTAGGACCAGTTATTAGTAAGACCTCCTTTCAATCACCAGGTTGTCCTGAGCTGATTGGGAGAACAGAGTCTGGACTTGGTTCCAGAATTTGCTCAGGAAATGGGTGTTGGTGGCTGAGGAGCTGTCTCAGGAGGTGTGGGGGATTGGGGAAGGTGTGAAGGATCTCCTGATTTGGTTCAGCAGCCGGAATGGCCTCCTTGTGTCCCCAGGATGGTCCAGCCCATAGCCTGGACCGGAGGGGCACTCAGGAATCATTAGTGGACTTGTAGGTGGATAAATGGAGTAGCCTGGCAACAACTGTAGCATAAGGGAGATAAGTCTGTGAGTCCCAGTACTGGGTGCTTACTCTGTCCTCTGGGGAATGTCTGATATTCCCCTTTCCATGATGTCCCCAGGCTAGGCCTGATACTTCCTCTCACCCCACAGACCACTGTGGTACCCCCACACATTGATGTCCTGAGGTTGCCTTTCCTGTGGAAGAGGTCTCTGAGGACCCGGTACTGACCCTGCACAGGGCTCATGACCTGCATGACCCTCTGTAAGCTCCCTGGTCACCCATAAATGGGGTCTGTTAGGATCTTCACTTGTGCAGAGTGATTAAGTTCACACAGCCAACAGTAGGCAAGCTGGTATTTACCAATCTTTAACCCTTCAAATACTATTTTTCATGACTCTAGGAAATGGCTCTTGGCTGAATTAGTGAGTGGGTTGGCAAATCTCAGGACCAAAAGGAAACTTCAAGAATATCTAGTCCTGCCAGTGGATCATGAGGCAGTATACCTTGCTGGGCACTATGCAGAGGAGTTAAGCTTTGCAGAGAGGGTCTGAGATTTCCTTCTCCTAAATGGGACCTGAGAAGAGTGAGTAGGTTGACTTGTTCTGGAGTTTTGGGGTCTCAGGTCTGGGGCAGGCAGATGAAGTGACTGGAGCTTTTAGGGAGCCCATAGGGAGGGAGGCAGTGCATCCTGGGGGAGGGTGTGGGTTCTGCTGTAAGGTAGACCTGAGTTTGCATCCTAGTTACAGCCCATTGGCTGTGGGATCTTGTGTATGGCACTCATGTGGTGTGAGCTTCTGATAACTCATCTGTGGGCATAGAGACAATACTTTTCTCTCATATCATGGATATTATGTCTGTAAATTCTTTAGCACTCTGTGAGTGGTCAGTAAACAACTGTCCAGGTTATTAAAACGTAATCACAATTCTGTTACTATAATGTGTCGTGTGCCCCTGTGATCAAATAGAACATGGGGATCAGGTCTGACTGACCCTTCCCCATGAGGCCATTTTCTGTAGCCCACGTAGGGATTCTCAAACCTATTTTCTGCAGTGTGTATGGAAATGATGGGGACATGCAAGCAAGAGGGACTATGGTAAGGTGTGTGGTGGCATTTAGTAACTCTTCAGGCTGTAGACTTAAGACATGGGAACAGTGAGTCATTATGTTCTGGAGACGTGGACAGTCATCTGAGATGACAGGCCTGGACCAAGTGGCACAGTGTGGGTCCTGGGGACCCACCATGTCACTGGACCTCTGACTCTAGTGCTGCACTGTTGAGTACAGAATTCTCTTGCTGTTTGGTGTATTCCCCTGCAGTCAACCTGGCAACGTTGTGTGTGTGGTGTGTCTTCAGGTTTTTGTGGTATATCTATACACACCTTCGTTTGCAAATATGCAGGTAAATATATATGTAAATATACAAACTATAATAGAATCACCAGTTATGTACAGTTCAATGACCTGTATTTAGTATTCAGTATATTTTGGATATCTATCATCAATCTGTTTATTCTTTACCCTTTTAAACAGCCAGACAGTATGTTGTAAAAAGAATTATAATGAGTAGATAACATGGCTACGCCTGGTGGCTCACACCTGTAATCCTAGCACTCTGGGAGGCAGAGGTGGGTGGATTGCTTGAGCTGAGGAGTTGGAGATCAGCCTGAACAAGAGTGAGACCCGGTCTCTAAAAACACAGCTGGGCATTGTGGTGGGCGCCTGTAGTCCCAGCTAATCAGGAGGCCTGAGGCAAAAGAATTGCTTGACCCCAGGCAAGTCCTGTGGCTCAAGGAGTAGGGCACCAGCCCCATATACTGGAGGTAGCAGGTTCAAAGCCAGCCCTGGACAAAAACTGCAAAAAAAAAAAAAAAAAGAATTGCTTGAGCCCAAGAGTATGAAGTTGCTGTGATCTATGATCCCACAGTACTCTATTCAGGGTGACAAAATGAGACACTGTCTCAAAAAAAAAAAAAATGAGTAGATAACATCACATGATCTACCTGTACTATAATATATCTATTTCACGGCCACCTATCACTATCCATGGAAATTTTAAGTTTCAGAACTGTAAAGGAAAGTAAAAATCCCAGGACCTTCCCAAACTCCTTATGCAAAAGGAAAGGTCAAACCTGGAGGCGGAATCATGAAAACACGCTCTTCCAAATGAATATTTGTTACTAACATCAGTAACATTATCTTTTCCTGCAGAAAGATAAAAAGCTTTAGGCATCTATGAAGGAATGTCCTCGTGTTGGGACCACAAATCACTGCTGAGAGACCACCACACACATGCAAAGACAATTTTATTTGCAAGCATATGCCTGGGTCACTCCAACCTACAGCTTAGCTGGGGAAGGGCACCCGGAAATGAAGTAAGGGGAGGTTTTTAAAGCGTATAGAGGAATTTCATTGGGCATTTTGTTGGGAGGGGTTGCCATTGGCTGAGCTGTTGTCCAGGGATGGTTGGCACCACCTGATGCGCCAAAGGTCCTATAGG